ATTTTTTCTATGAATTCTCTTATTATTATGTATTATTTTATTTTAATCTTTGTGTGTGATATATGTATGTGTGTTATTATATGAGAGTATGGGTTTGCACCATAGCACATGGTGGATGTCAGAAGACAACTGTGGGAGTTGCTCCTTGTTTGAGACAGGGTCTCTTGTTTGTATCTCTTCATATACCAGACTAGCTGGCCTGAGAGCTTCTGGGGATCCCCCTGCCTCTACTTCTCACCTCCCTATAAGAGTGTTGGGATCACAGATGTACACTACTGCATCTGGCTTTACATGGGGTCTAAGGATCCAAACTCAGGTCCTCATGCCTGAGTGACAAGTGCTTTGCCCTTGGTCGTTTATTACATTATTTATTTATTTATTTATTATCTATCTATTTATTTGTGTGTGTAAGCACATGCCACAGCATGTGTGGAGGTCTGAGAAAACCTGCAGGAGTTGCTTCTCTCCTTCTACCATGTGGGTCCCAGGGATCGAACTCTGGTCTTCAGGCTTGGCAGCAAGTACATTTGACTCAATGAGCCATCTCATCAGCTTGCTCCCTTATTTATTTATTTATTTATTTTTATTTTTTGGAGACAGTTTCTAGCCCAGGCTGGCCTCAGACTCACTAGGTAGCTCAGGATGACTGGATTTCTGATTCTCTTATTTCTACCTTCCAAGTGCTACGGTTACAGACTTGTTCCAGCATACCGGGTTTATGCTGTGCTGGGGGCTTGAACCCAGGGTTTTGTGCATGCTGGCAAGAACTCTACCAACTGAGCTACATCAAGGCCCTCCCTATATTGATCATTTTAAGTATTTTTTATTATTTTCATTTTATGTGTATGAGGGTATTACCTATATGTGGGTAGGTACACTGGTGTCCTGCAGTGCCCCCAGAGGTCAGAAAGGGGGTGTTGGATCCCCTGGAACTGGACTTATGGACAGTTGTTAGCCACCGTGTGGGTGCTAGGAATCAAACCTGGGTCCTCTGCTAGAGCAACCAGTGTTCTTAACCACTGAACCATCTCTCCAGCCCACTATTGAGCTTTTTAAAACACTAAAATGCAACTGTCTTCCCTTTATCTGGAATGTTTTCTTTCTACTGACCTGTGCAGTCCCTCCTCCTCACTTCTTCACCATCCTTCTCTGGCCAATCCATCAGGTGACGTCAGAGGGCCCCTTCCCCATGGTGTGCTCTTCCAGGCTTCCAGCCCGAACATGCTTCTCCAGGAGGACCTTCAGTGCCGCCCCACGCCCTTCATTGCCTTGGCAGGATGAACAAGTGCCTTTTGCCTGGGGACCCCTCACCTCCCAGATCTAAGTTTCCTTCTCGGGAAAGCCCACTGAAGACTGTTCCTAGGCAGTGCTTGTCCCCTTACTTTCTCCCATGCACTGACCAGTGTCTGGCTGAGGGCATGGTTAGTTTGGTACAGCCATCCCTCTTTAAACAAGGGAGATTGTTGCAGGGCCTCCTTGAGTACCCAAATCCATGGATTTGGATTGTGTAAATTCTTTATACAAAATGATATTCGATTTGTCCACAATCTGCATACCTTCTCACAGGCTTTAACTCATCTCTAGATTCCTCAAAACATTTAATGTAATACCTATGCTTCGTAGGGAGTTGCTATACTGTTAAGCCATTATTTTACAATATAATAGTAATTATACTGTTAAACCGTAATTGCTTAGAGTATAATGACAAGAAAAGGTGTGGATTGGGGCTGGAGAGATGGCCCAACAGTTAAGAGCACTGGCTGTTCTTGCAGAGGAACCGAGTTCGTTACCCAGCACCCACATGGTGGTTAACAACCATCCATAACTCCAGTTCCAGGAGATCTGACGCCCTCTTCTGTCCTCCATGGGCATTACATGACATGAGTACACTTACATACATGTAGGTAGTACAGTCATACACATAAAATAATAAAAATAACTAAATAAAAATATTTTTAAAAAGAAAAAGTATGGACATGTTAAGTACAGCCCCCCCCCACACACCATTTTCCAGCTGAGGTTGGTGAAGCCCATGGTTATGGAAGGCCAGAAGCTTACAATTAGGAAATGACTCAGATTCTAGGCTTGGCTCTGTGACTAGCTGTGTGATGGAGGTAAGTCAGTCACCCTTGGACACCTCAGCTTTCTCATGTAAGCATGGTATAATCTGGAGACCAGGCTTAGATGAGTTGCTAGTGGTAAGGCACCTGGCATCCAGGTAAAGCACCTGACTCATCATAAGAACTTAAATAATAGCTGTCTGATTCATTATAGTTAAATGCTTGGGCTCATTGAAAAGTTGCATCTGCTATACTTGTATTTTGCTTGGGTTTTATTAAAGCCCGTAGTGTACTTTGGGGTTCAGGGTTTAACTACTTTTCACCCTCACTGAGGTTAATATTAGGTCTTGATCTTAGAAGCATTAATTTATGTGACACAAAGGAAATTATTGTGTGAATGCTGGCAAGTGCGCTCTCTGGCATCCCTGTGGAGCTCAGAGGACAACCTCAGGTTGTTGGTCCTCACTTTCCCCCTAGTTTGAGGCCAAGTCTTCATTTTTTGCTATTGTACTATGTGTGCCAGGCTAATTGACTCCAGATTCCCATGTTGCTATAGGAGCCCCGAGATTACAGTGTGTGCTACCATGTTCAGCTTTAGACAGACTCTTGAGATTTGAACTGAGGCCTCATGCTTATACAACAAACTATTTACTAAGCCATCTCCCTGGCCCAAATTATTATTATTTTTATTTTGAGATGGGGTTTCACGTAGCTATGGATAACCTTGAACTTCGGCTCCTTTCTCCAGTTTCCACCTCCTTAGTGCTGGGATTATAGGCATGTGCTACCACACCCACTTTCATACAGTGCTGGAGATCAAACCCAGGGTTTCCTACATGCCAGGAAACTGAGCTATGTCCCCATTTCTAAAAGGAAATAATTCTTAACAGGAAGATAATACTGAGGATAGAGTTTTAGTTTCTTTTTCTTTCTTTTTTTTTTTTGAGATAGAATCTTACTGTGTATCCAAGGCTGGCCTGGAACTCATGATCCTCCTGCCTCGCTCTCTTGAACCCTCATGCCCACTGGAGACTTTTTATAGGATAATGGAGGCACAGTCCTACCACTAGCTTACCTAGCTAAGTTGGGGGTATATATCTGTATCTCCTCCATTGCAGGGCTTGTGTTCAAGTTATATCACACACATTCTTGAAGCTGTTTGGGCAAAGAAGAGATTCATATTATTTATCAGAGAGTTTCCCTGGGAGTACACATCATCATGTATGTTGGCAAACTAACACCACATAGAAGAGATGCTTTGAATTTAATTCCTTCTTTTAGCATTATCTAGAAATATCTAGTAGGTGAAAAATTTGGATGATTCTTAACCATACGTCACTTGTAACAATGATCTTATAACTGGTTTCTCTTTCCAACACTGGAAGTTCCAGTGTTCCCGTCTTCTCTTGTTTCTGCCAGCAGGTGGGGTACTGGCTCCTTTTTAAGCCACAAGCCACCTGCCGGAAGACTGTTCAGTTCTTTTTCCCTCACTGCTGTGAGTCTTCTGTGTCCCTGTCCCCATTTTTAATCCCAGGAGAAACTGTTGAACACTGACCTAGGCAGGGTCAGAGCTGAGGTCAGGTGGGTGTCAGAGCTGAAGTGCCTCTGGGTTCTCCTGCCCCATATTGCTGAGCTAATGCTCTTATGTTTCATAGATGTTGAGTAACTTTAGTTTTACCAGAAATGCATGTAAATCTGTTTGGCAACAAGCGAAAGAAGTTTTCTTTGCATTTGGTCTAAACTTCTGGGTTAGAGGGAACAGTAAACTTGGGAAACCAAAACTTTATGCTAAAACAGATCTAGTTAAATAAAATAGAACTTTATAAAAATAAGATAGTAATAAGTTCTTGAAATTAAAAGTGTTCTTGGCGTTGAAACTAGAGGACAATTGTATTTATGGTGAGCACATTATTTTAAAAGCTGATTGACCGTCGGATCTTCATCTTGTACTAAGCAGTATGCTGGAACTGTTTTAGGGCTTGACTACTTGGAAGGAAATTATCAATTACATTTTTCTGGAATGAAAACTAAGTTTAGATTCCTGATTTTGAAACCATGGTGTGTGATATTGAAAGGCAATAATGCATTTGGAAATAGCTTTAAAAAAGCATTTATCATGTGTGAACATGTTGGGGGGTCATGCTACAGTGTGCATGAGGGAGTCAGAGGACAAGTTTTCAGGAATTGGTTCTCTCCTTCCACTATGTGAATCTTAGAGATTGAAATGAGGTCAACAGATTTGGTGGCAAATCTGGTGCCTTTACTCACTGAGTCATCTTCCTGACCCCTTGAGACCTTTTTATCTTATAAATGTATCTCAAGTGATGAGCTGGTGCTAGAAAGATGATTTATGAGATTTATAGACACCAAGGCAGATCAGAGATGAGACTGTTCTTCCACAGATTTTCCTCTTGATCTGTATTAAATTTTGAGCATTTGTGATAATGAAGTTTTAGGCTTATTTATTTTATGTAAAAACTGAAAAACTAGTAATAGTATGCATTTGATTCTCAGAGACAATAATGTCATACATCTTTCTTTTGCAATGTAAAAATTATAATGTTGTATGTTCCATGATCACCGCCTGATGTAGGCAACAATATAAAAGTCATTTCATGACCCCAGTAGAGGGGTAGACTGTATTGCCCTTGTTTAACATGAATCAGTCCCTTTAATGCAGTATCTGAGGGAGACCAGGAAGAGAGAGTTCTCTTTGTTTAAGTTTGTGCTATGGTTTTCTTGGGCAGTAAGTACAAAACTGAAGCTGGGAGCTTCAGCTCCTTGTGTGAAGCTTTTCTTTCTCACAGCAGAGTGTCTATTTAACATACAGGGAGTGGTTTCAAGTTCATTACGGAAGCTTATAGGCTAAAGTGCTCTGTGGGCTTGGCTGACTTGAATTGCCTTTAGGGAGCCTGCCAAAACTGAGCTTCAGAACAGGACTGCTTTCCCTGTTTATGTGGATTCCCAGGGTAGCCAGTTTCTCCCCTCTCGGCTTTCAGCTGCTTTGGGTATTAGTTTCATAGGAAGAATTCATTCTTTGGAGTAAAATGGAGCGACTTCTTTTCCCAGGGGCACCAGGTTGGTAGCACTTTGAACTTTCTGTTGTGTGTCAGATTTTTTTTTTTTTCTGTGCTCTTGGGGTTGATGGTATGACAGGCAGGGGAAGGCTTTGCTGTTGTTGCGTTCTTAGAAAAACAGCACGAGCTCCTTGATCCTGCAGAGGTCGGAGTTAGCGTTGCTCTGTATAAGATACACATTGTTTGACAATATTCGATCCAAGTGGGGCCAAGAGGAAACCCCATCCATGTGCTGGGTTTACAACGCACAGGGCTGTACTTGTTTCTGAGCACCTTCAGCTCCTCTTTTTGTGATTACCTTCTGTGTCTTCTCTGTCATCTTCTAGGCAAAACGGATTCTCTGCACGAGGGTTTTATTTCATGTTTTGTTTGTTTGAGCTAAGCCGCGTGCTGTACCCTAACAAGCCTCGTTTTTTCTGACCCCACTTGTCATGCAGTCTCCCTTTGGGCCTGCTCGTCAGAGTTGCAGTGGGACCAGCTGTCTTTTTCATCTTTACTTTGAAAATGCCCAGACTTTTCTAGAACTTCTCATTAAGTTCCTGCAGAACAATGGTTCTGGGTCGAGCATCCAGGTGGGCTCAGAATGGGATTTCGTCTTTGCTTGTTGTTTTTACTCACACACAAGTGGCTCCCTGGAATATGAGATCACCTCACAAATACATATGACCATAAAAATCGAGTATAATTTATAAGACTTGAAAGCAATGTTAATAGTAATAAAGGTATGAAGCCAATAAAATTAAGTGCCGAGAGAATAGCTTCCTTGATTTCATGAAGTTAAAGAGCCAGAGAGCAATTTTACTTTTGTTAATTTGCCCTCAGTGCAATCTGGCACGAGGCTCTTCGTGAGAATGGTTTAATGTGGTGATGTTTCACAGTTTGTACTATCTGTCTGCCTGTCTGTCTGTCTATCATTTATCTTCTATCTATTATCTATCTGTCATCTGTCAATCAATGAACCAATCAACCATTTGGTATCTCCATATATAGATCATATATATATGCTGTTGTTACATGTAGGTATGGTATTGTGTGATGATTAATTATCAAATGCTATTAATTTAAATCTTAAAGGAGAGCATTCTTAACCTGAGCATTGGTACCTGATGATTTTAAAGAAAAATGTTAAAGACATCTCCCCCGCAGATCACCTATTTGTGTTTCATGGGTATGGCTAACATCTTTAAAAGTTTACACAAAGCTTATGTGTCTTGGAGGTCTCAATTTCTGGGTTCTAAAGTCTTTCTAGAACAGAGTCACATGCTGCTGGTTGAAAACAGAAATAAGCAAAGTGACAGATAACAAGGCAAGTGGGAAACCACCTAAAAGCCAAATTTTGAGGGCCTTCCCAAAGCGTGTGCACATTAAAGTATGTTTCCTCTGAACATAGGAGATACGAAGGACACGCAGGAGTGTTCCAGAACTGCGATCAGAACTAAACTATCCGAGCAACCTGGGTCATTCCATCTTGAGGATGCGCACACTGTGGCACCATCCTCCTGTCAATGGCTTCGAGTCCTTGCGTCTGCTTTTGCGGCTCAAGTCGAGCAGACACCAGCACTTGCTTATTCTATACCATTGCATCTCAAGTTGAGCTTTGAGAAGATTCATCTTTATCCAGTGGGCTTTCTAGTTACCATTAAAGGTGCTCTAGATATCCCATACATATCGGATGGTTCTTGATGTGACTGATGACCCACAGGCATGTGATACCAATTTTCTTTTAAAGAAGCTAAATTTCAGAGTTGAAGACAATTACACCTTGACTTGGTTCATGCCTGAAACATTTCAGAAAAGTAGATGGAGGCAGAAGGAAAGCCTCAGAGGAAAAAAAAAAAAAGTAGTTAAGAGTAGTTATGGCATTCGAGGTGGTTTTCTGTTAATCCTGGGCAGACTTCACCTAATCAGCAAATTCTGTTCATGTCTCCGACCACTCAGCTCCCTGCTCCCCATCTTTGCTGTGGAGGCTTTGGGAGCCTCTTGAGCTGCATTGTGTGGCCCTGTCAGATTCACTCCGTGATGAGTTTATTAAAACTCTGAATCCTGTATTTTTTCTATCTCTGAACCTTGCTTTCGAGACACTAGCATGCATGGGTCTTGTGCTTATATTTGCCAGTGAGGGACCCTGTAATGCCATCCACCCTGGAAATTCACTTATTTTGTAATGATAGCAAGAACTAACTTGCTAGGATTGCAAAGGCGGAAGCTGGATTATCTCTCAGAGCTCAACTGAACACACCTTCTTCAGTTCCTTGTTTTAGTCTGAAGAACCCAGATTAAGTTTAAGCTGACGGGTCCTGGGCTGGTGTCAGGAATGGTCACAGTAGGAGCAGTAGCCATAGTAACAGTGATGACCACTCAAAAGGCATTTCCTCCCAGCACTTGGGAGGCGGATCTTTGTGAATTCAAGGCCAGCCTGGCCTACATAGTGAGTTCCAGGACAGCTGGGGCTACAAGGAGACCCTGTCTCAAAAAGACAAAATAATAAATGGAGTTCTTTTTGAAAGGTTAAAATCTCATTTAATATTATGTCTTTCAAGGCTTATATTGAATTCAATATTGTATAGCTATTAATTCAACAGCGAACCTAAAAATTTTATTGCCACTTTTGAAAGAGATATATCTCTGCTCTGGAAACTTCTATTGAGTATGTTAAAGCTGTAATGAAATGCATCTTCTAATAATAATAATAATAATAATAATAAAGCATTTCCTATTGTGGCCACACTTTTGGGCCTCATTCCATCCTCACAGCCATCCCTAAGAACTTCATTGTCTTAATGACCCCCATTTTGTAGATGAGAAACTGCCCCAGAAAGGTCTAATAAGGTCAAGCAGCAGTTGCAGTATTGGGTCTTAGAGGGAGCGCTATAGTGGGGGAAAGACCCATAGAGTTGCTTTCTTAGAAAATATCATCTGGTGTTTATTACTAAGGAGAAGCAGCTGTGTAAATGGTGGCATCTGTGCTGATATTCCTGCCAAAGCTGTGACCCCCCTGCCACTGAGTAAGGCATGCCCTCTGTGTCCTTTTTCCACCTAGGAAGGTGTGAGCCCATCCTGTGCTTTCCCACCTGCTCTGCTGGTGATCAGTGACAGGAACTCAGTGACCAATCACAGACTATAGAGGTTGTCTGTGGACCATTTGTGGGCTAGGGAGATGGCAGAGATAGGAGGATCCCCTGGGCTTTCAAATTAGTTCAAATATACTCTGTCTCAAAAAGTCAGGTGAGGCTGGGCATGGTGGGCACGACTTTAATCCCAGCACTCGGGAGGCGGAGGCAGGCTGATTGCTGTGAGAGTGAGGCCAGCCTGTCTACATAGCAGGCTAGCTGGGGCTACAGGGAAACCCTGTCTAAAAAAACAAAACAAACAGATAAACAAAAAATCAAGTGACTAAGGAAGATACCTAACATATATGTGTGCTTTGTGTGTGTGTACACCTGCACCCACTCATGTGCATCCCCTACCTGTCTCACACCATAAGACTGATGGCGGTCAGTGTACATGAAGAATAAGCCCTGTGCATTGTGTTCTGTCTTCTACTGACTAAAGCTAGTCTTGGAATTTTTTAGACATTTTAAGACTGAAATGATCAAACAATGAAAGCTAGGAACTTAGACCTCCTGGTTGTTTAGTTTTCTGTCCTCTTCATTCCTGCCCAACATGACTTCCTGCTGATAATGAAAACTCTGGTTATTCTGTGGGTCCCCAGGGCCTTCTGAAGTTCTGTGGAAAGCCAAGAATATGAGACATGACTTCACTTTAAAAACGCAAATATGCATTTGAAAAATGTTAGTCCAATAACTTATATTGGATTTTGCTAAAATATAAACATTTGGCAAATACATTTAGAAATAATAACAATGTATGGTAATGTGGCCCAGGAAGAAAAAAGAGCTGATAATATAGCCCAGGCTGACTGGAACTCAATATGTAGCCTAGGATGACCTTAAACTACTGATCCTCCTGCCCCCACCTCCAAAGTGCTGAGATTATAGGTGTATGTTATCACACCCAGTTTATGCAGTGCTGGGGACTGAATCCAGTACTTCATGCATGATAGTCAAGCTTTCTACCAATTGAACTCCCATACCCAGCCTTAAGAGTGATTTTATTAGTCTCAAAAAATTTTTTAACATTTTTTATTTTTATATGTATGAATGTATTGCTTGCATGTATATAAGTGCACCCGTATTGTGCATTACCCATGGATCTCAGGAGAGGGAGTTGGATCCCCTGGAGCTGGAGTTACAGATGGTTGTCAGCTACCATGTGGGTGCTGGGAATCTAACCCTGGTCCTCTGCAGGAACAGCCAATACTCTTAACCACTGAGCCATCTCTCCAGGACCCTACTCTCAAGGAATTTTAATATAATAGAAGAAGAAGAAGAAGATGATGATGATTGGTGTTACTTGTGTACTTGTGTGGTGCCCTTGCCTGTGTGAGTGTGTGTAGAGGCCAGAGGTTGATATTGGGGTGGCTTCCTCAATGGCTTTTCCACATTATTTTTATTTTTAGACTAGGTCTCACCAAACCTGAAGCTCACTATTTTGGCCAGATTGACTGGCCAGTGAGCCCCCAGGACCCACCTATCTGTGCCCCAGCACTGGGATTGCAGGTGCCTGCCACCATGCCTGGATTTTATGTGGGATCCACACTCAGATTCTCATGTTTGTCTGGAAAGCACTTTACCCACTGAGCCTACACCCCAGCCCAAGAATGTACTATTTCAATAATATAAATGAAGATAGGCTAGGACTGACGGGTGAGGATGGAGGCAAGGTAAATCTTTACAAAGGTTAGGATGATTTTACTTTGAGGAACCATCTATTTTGCTGTACTTATGCATGTTAGAAGGTCGTGTTTCTGTTTTTCCACACTAAGAATCATATTTTAATCAGATGTTATAGTCAATTATAAGGTAGTTTATTTAGTAAAGGATGTGGAGAAGCTCACTTAGATACTGGCAACATCAGCCTTGGAAAGACCCTTGGATGTAT